AGTAAAAAGTGGGATTTCACTTCCTTAAAGTTGGGTTTAGGTGATAAGTGCTTGCACTTAATAGATTTTAGTAAAAAGAATAGAACAAGAATACCGCGAATGCTATGCTAATCCTCGTATGATAAAAGAAGCTAAACAGTGAGAAAAAGCCGAAATTAAAAGTTGGCTAAACTACGAAAAAAATAAGGATAAGCCAGCAACGGTTAAATGAAGTAAAAAACTAACAAATGGCAGAAAAGCTAATTAGACGAGGAGATATTTATTGAGTAGACTTACCGGACAGTAATGGACGAGAAATTAAGGATACTCACCCTGCTTTGGTAGTTTCAAACGATAGGCAAAATAACGCTAGCCCTTTAATAGTTATCATGCCAATTACTTCCTTAAAAGCCGGTGATAAAGCTTTTTCTTTTCAAGTGCCAATTACTTTAAAGAATAAGAGTGTGATACTGGTAGACCAAATCAGAACCATTGACCGAGATAAGTTTAAAGATAAAATTACCAAAGTTGAGGAGAAATTAATAGAGGAAGTGGAAAGGAAAATCCATTTTGTTTTAGCTTTAAAAAATTAAGCACTGAATAACGCCATTTTTACCCCCCCCAAACCCTTAGCAAATTTTACTAACTTATTCAAAGAATAAAACTAAATAAGAAATAATTGTTAGATAATGGGCTTTTTCTTATTAAGCACTCACCCAACCCCTTATCAAAATATCCAGTAGCTCAGCAGGTTTTTTAAGCAAAAAAAAAAAAAAAAAACACTATAAAAACTAAAATAAAGGCTAATTAGACAATCACCATGACAACAATAAAAATCCCATTTACTAAAGAAAGTATCCGACAAATTCCTGCCAAGGACTTAAACGCAGGAACCAAAGGAGTAGAGTTAGAAGTCCAAACTAATTTCTTAGTGTCGCAAATTTGCTCCATAGATAAAGCCGTTGGTAATCCAACTGACGGTTCTTTTGAAAAAATTTCTTTTGTCTTTAAGGATGATGCTGAAAAAGCTTATTATGATGCTCTTTTAGATAGCAAAAGTCAAAATTTTGAGTTGAGTTTTGATAAAGACAAAGTTTTTTTAATGGTCTTTGGCTTTGGAAACTTTATTGACAAAACTAAACCCGAAGTCCAAGTTAGTCCCGGACATAAAAGCATGGTAGTATTTTTTGAGTCTAAATTTACTGGGATAATTACTCTGGAAAGTAAAAACAGCAAGGACGACAAGGACAATAAGAAACCTGAGGACAAGAAACCTGAGGACAAGAAACCTGAGGACAAGAAACCTGAGGACAAGAAACCTGAGGACAAGAAACCTGAGGACAA